ACTATATACAGAGATAGTGAAGAAATAAATTAAGCGAGATAGTAGTGACTAGTAACGAAGTTAGTAAGCAAATAGACAAGCTAAAGCCTAATAAGTCGCCAGGTTCTCATGATATATTGCCAGAGTATTAAGGGAATGTAAGGAAGAGAGTAGTATGCTCTTACCAAATTTGTTTAACATGTCCTTAAAATTGGGGGTAGTACCAGAATCCTGGTGGATAACGAATGCAAAACCAATTTTCAAGATTAGAGATAGATCACTATCCTCTAACTACCGTCCAATCAGTTTAACATCAATTGTAGGCAAAGTACTGGAAGCAATAATTTCAAACTCTATTCGAAATCACCTGGAGAAGCACAAGTTGATCAATGATTCCAACATGGCTTCACAAGCGGGCGTTCATGTCTGAATAATCGATTAACATTTTTTAAATCTTTTTTTCGAATCAGTGAACGACGTGCACGATTATGATGTGGTATATCTCGACTTTAGCAAAGCCGTCGACACAGTCCCCGACGAAAGACTAATGCGACAAGTGGAGGTTCATAGTATTGGAGGAGATATTCTAAAACAGATTAGGGCGTGGTTACAGGACAGGGAACAACGATCGAGCATTAACGGCACTAAATCAGATTGGAGTAACGTCACTAGTGGAGTACCCCAAGGCTCAGTACTTGGACCATTATCATTTATTATATACATAAACGAAACAGATATAGGCATAGACGGCAACATAAGTAAATTTGCTGTTGACTCTAAAATAAGGCGTGTAATTAAATGTGACGAGGACTCTGCAAAACTACAGGAAGATCTAAAAAAACTTTTCGAAGGGTCTGAGAAATGGCAGATGAAATTAAGGCGGATAAATGTAAAGTACTTAGTTTAGGACAGAGTTTCTCAAACTATTTCACTCCATTCCCCGCATGAGGAACACTCAACCTCCTCGTGGCCCCCGTTTAGTTCATTCTCAAGCCCCTCACAAATAATGATGAAAATAAATGCTTACAATCATCAAACAGAGCGCACATTTTGTTATAGTTCAATGGGATAGATGACATTGTTTCCTTTCAGTCAGTCGACTGATTCGAGGTTAAGTCACTGATAAATCACATCTCATGTCTTGGTTCACATGTAACCGGTTTCGGCTTTTATTCTTTATTTAAAGAAGGGTGGAGAAACCAGATTCACATAAATAAATAGTAGAAAATGGCAAGAGGACTCGAAGTGCGATTTCACTAACTTTTGGATATGACTGATACATTGAGCACCAGAATACAGTCAGATATTTTACTTCGTAGAGGTCTCTGGCAACAAATTCGTTCTTGAAATCAAGGAATTCGTCCTGACCATCGTCGGGAATGGCAGCAATATCAAGAGTGTCAGAGAAAGGATTCCTCACCAATTTCCTTTCTTCCTCCTCGAATTCTGGGAAGAACCTTTTGAGCTCACTTTCCAAGTATTTCAAGTGATGAATAATTTCATTTTTGTGTGATGGGTCAAGTAAATGATCCTCTTAAATTACGTCAAAAACAATTGAGATATTCTCAAACATAGCAACATTTCGTGCACTGACTTTCCTTTGCCAGTTCTGGAGTTTGTCTAGAAATGAACGAATACAAAACACATGGTGAAACACATTTCTTTCCTTGCCTTGTAACTTGAGATTCAGCCTGTTTAGCTGCTCAAATATGTCTGCCAGGTACGCTAGACGTGGCTCCCACAACACCTCGTTGAAGTGACTTAGTATATCATCCTTCCCTTTCATTTCCAGGAACAACTTAAGTTCTCTCCGAAGTTCGAACACCCGATTCACAACATTACCCGTGGAAAGCCATCGCACTTTGGAGTAAAAGAGGAGGGTTTCATGCTCCGAATTCATGCATCTACAGAGATTCTGGAAAAGGCGAGAGTTCAAATCTCCTGCTTTCACAAAATTGACGCATTTTACCACTGCCTCCGGGATCTTGCAAAGGTATCAGGGAGGGTTTTCGACGCCAGTGCAAAACGATGGCTCATACAGCACAATTAACCCCTTTGGCATTGAGAGCTCCTTCCTTGACGTCCTTCTGTAACCCTGATTTCGATCCCAGCAACGCCGGAGCCCCATCAATACAGCCTCCACAACAATTTTTTCAGGAGATCGCGTTAGTTGTGAAGAAAGAAGTCAACTTTTCCATCACGTCTAAAGTTGTTTTGGTAGTTTCAAGCTGGGTACAGAACAGATATGCATCATTGATGTCACGCAAGAATACATACCTAACAAACACGAGTAGCTGTGCACAAGAACTCACATCCGTTGACTCATTCAACTGTATTGCAAACATACTAGTTGAGGACGATTTAATCTCCTGTATCACTTGTTCCATGATATCACCTGACATTTCACTCATTCTCCGTTTCACCGTGTCGACTGAAAGGAAATCTGCTGAATCTACTTTCACTTGCCTCTCCAAGAACCCTTTGACCATCTGCAAAGCACACGGCTTAATTAAAGTTTCACCAATCGTGTGGGCCTTTTCTTTTTTTGCTATTTCAATGAAAACCTCATATGATGCCTCAACCACACTTAAGTTCTGTTGTTGGAAGGCACCACTCTCATCCTGTCTCTGTTTTCTCAAACTCCGTTCAAGGGCTTGAAGAAATCGAGGTCTCTCTCCGCAAACTGGGGGTGGATTGTCGTCAGATGATGTTTCAGATTACTAGGTTTTATGGAATCGTTCCCCATCACTTTGAAACACAACACACACTGAAATTTTCTATGCCATCAGCGAGGATTAATGTAAATCCGTAGTTAATGTATTCATCATTGTATTTCCGCTTCTTAGCAACACTGGCAGCCATCGCAATTCTAAGGAAATTATAAAAAACAATGTCAAACAGACAGAAACAGACGAATGATAACACTAAAAATTATAATAATAAAAAAAACAGAAATATAAGACAATCATGAATCTCTTTGTTTTACTAAAAAAATGTAATCTCTCTCTCTCTCTCTCTCTCTCTCTCTCTCTCTCTCTCTATCTCTAAATCTTGACTAGTTCTTTAAAAAAAAACAGAATATCACAGAAACAGACGAATGATAAAAACTAAAATTTAAAATAATAAAAAAAATGAGAAGATAATCCGAATGGCAAACACACAAACATGCATGAAGTCCATACATACTGTATGTAAGCATACACAAAATGCCTATGCAATCAAACGTAAAACATACACACACAGTCCACTCACAGTACACTCACATATTTTTCTAATGATATCTTGAGCAAGACTGAGAACATTTGGTTTGATCACCACTTGTAAAGCGATGACACACGGACATGTACAGAACATGTGAGATTAGTGACTCAGCCCAGCGCCAGAAACTAGACAGGAACTAGAATCGTACAATCTGAGCGAATCCGTTGGAAATGAAAAACTAGCTACTGCACCATACTATGTAAATATCAAAACTGTACCGTATGGGTATTATGATTACACACAATGAAAAAAAAAGATGAATAAAAAAAACGATTTCTCCCCTACCAAGGCAAAGTAAAAAAAAAAAAAAAGTTGAATCAGAGTTTCCACATTTTCTCCAAACATTTACTACTTACACTAGCCCGCCATGGCCCCCCTATAATTTTGCCGTGGCCCCCAGTTTGAGAAACACTGGACTCTACGAGATGTAATAATAATAATAATAATAATAATAATAATAATTAACGGTTTATTGAAAGAGCTTGGCAGCCAGAAGGCTGAAAATATACAGTTACATATTTGGGGAATGGATTACGAATTACAAATAATATACAAGTAACATAAGTGATACAAATAAGATATATAATAACTAGATGGGGAAAAGCTCAAACTACAGTGCATTTCAACATAGTGACAGTGCAAGAAGTAGTATTTACTAGGCCAGATGAACAACAATGTTCTAGAGAAATCTGACTGAGAGAGTGATTTAGGAGTAATAATAAGTAGGAATCTTAAACCAGGTAAACAATGTGTATTTTCTCCAAACAAGGTTAACAAAGTACTTGGGTTCAAACACAGGAGTGTTAGTTACGAGACTAGCAAGGTCATCCTAAAACTATATCTTGGGCTTGTGAGACCTCACTTGGATGACGCAGTTCAATTCTGGTCACCGTACTACAGAATGGATATAGAATCACTAGAAAGAATTCAGAGGCGAATGACAAGACTAATCTCGGGCATTAGGAACCTTGAGTACAGCGACAGGTTAAAATATCTTAATTTACATTCTCTGGAGAGGCTTAGAGTGGGGGCCATATGATCGAGGTGTATAAATGGAAGTCAGGACTAAACAAAGGTGATATTGCAAATGTACTCAAACTATCCAACCAGGAGCGAAATCGTAAAAATGATTTTAAATTAGATAAATTTCAATTTAGGCGGGAGATAGGTAAACATTGGTGTGGATATAGAGTAGTGGATGAGTGGAACAAGTTACCAAATATCATCATTATCTCTAATACGTTGGATAACTTCAAACATATAGGTTAGATGGATTTATGAGCGATTGAGGTTGGGTGTAAACGGGACTGCCCAGTATGGGCCAATAGGCCCGCTGTATATATGTTTACAAACAGTATGTATGGATTTAATGTATGTTTGTGTGTTTGCCATTCGGATTATTTTATATTTTTTTTATTATATTTTTTTAGTCTGTTTCTGTGACATTCTGTTTTTATAAAGAACTATTCAATATATATATATATATATATATATATATATATATATATATATATATATATATATATATATATATATATATATATATAGAGAGAGAGAGAGAGAGAGAGAGAGAGAGAGAGAGAGAGAGAGAGAGAGAGAGAGAGAGAGAGAGAGAGAGAGATTAAAAATTTGTAGTAAAACCAAGAGATTCATGATTATATTATATTTCAGTTTTTTTATTATTATAATTTGTAGTCTTTATCATTCGTCTGTTTCTGTCTGTTTGGCATTGTTTTCTGTATAGATTCCTTAGAATTGCGATGGCTGCCAGTTTTGCTAAGGAGCGGAAATACAATGCTGAATACATTAACTACGGATTTACATCAATCCTCGCTGATGGCATCGAGAAACTTCAGTTTGTGTTGTGCTTCAAACTGCTGGGGTACGATTCCATGAGGCCTAGAAAGCTGAAGCATCATCTGACGACAATCCACCCCCAGTTTGCGAAGAGAGATCCGAATTTCTTCAAGCGCCATAAACGGAGTTTGGGGAAACAGAGACTGGATGAGAGTGGTGCCTTCCAACAACAGAACTTAAGTGTAGTTGAGGCATCATATGAGATTACCGTTGAAATAGCAAAGAAGAAGAAGGCCCAGACGATTGGTGTAACTTTACTTAAGCCGTGCGCTTTAAAGATGGTCAAGCGGGTTCTTGGAGAGATAAGTGAATGTAAGATTCAGCAGATTTCCTTGTCAGTCGACACGGTGAAACGGAGAATTAGTGAAATGTCAGGTGATATCATGGAACAAGTGATACAGGAGATTAAATCGTCCTCAACTAGTATGTTTGCAATACAATTGAATGAGTCAACGGATGTGATTTCTTGTGCACAGTTACTCTTGTTTGGTAGGTATGTATTCTTGCGTGACATCAAGGATGCATATCTGTTCTTTACACAGCGTGAAACTACTAAAACAACTTTAGTCGTGATGGAAAAGTTGACTTCTTTCTTCACAACTAACGGGATAACCTGGAAAAAATTGTTGTGGAGGTTGTACTGACGGGGCTCCGGTGTTGCTGGGATCGAAATCGGGTTACAGAAGCACGTCAAGGAAGTAGTTCTGAATGCTAAATGGGTACATTGTATGAGCCATCGTTTTGCACTAGCTTCGAAACCCTTCCCTGATACCCTTTGCAAGATCCCGAAGGTAGTGGTAAAATGCGTCAAATTTGTGAAAGCAGGAGATTTGAACTCTCGCCTTTTCCAGAAAATCTGTGGAGGCATGGATTTAGAGCATGAAACCCTCCTCTTTTACTCCAAAGTGCGATGGCTTTCCATGGGTAATGTTGTGAATCGGGTGTTCGAAATTCGGGGAGAATATAAGTTGTTCTTGGAAATGAAAGGGATGGATGATCTATTAAGTCATTTCAACGAGGTGGTGTGGGAGCCACGTCTTGCGTACCTGGCAGACATATTTGAGCAGCTAAATAGGCTGAATCTCAAGCTACAAGGAAAGAAAGGAAATGTGTTTCACCACATGGATTGTATTCGTTCATTTCTTGACAAACTCCAAAACTGGCAAAAGAAAGTCAGTGCAGGAAATGTTGCCATGTTTGAGAATATCTCAGTTGTTCTTTACGAGATTGAAGAGGATCATCTACTTGACCCATCACACAAAAATGAAATAATTCACCATTTGAAATCCTTGGAAAGTGAGCTCAAAAGGTTCTTCCAGAATTCGAGGAGGAAGAAAGGAAATTGGTGAGGAATCCTTTCTCTGACACTCTTGATATTGCTGCCATTCCCAACGATGGTCAGGACGAATCCCTTGATTTCAGGAACGAATTTGTTGCCAGAGACCTCTACGAAGTAAAATATCTGACTGTATTCTGGTGCTCAATGTATCAGTCATATCCAAAACTTAGTGAAATCGTACTTCGAGTCCTCTTGCCATTTTCTACTATTTATTTATGTGAATCTGGTTTCTCCACCCTTCTGTAAATAAAGAATCAAAGCCGAAACCGGTTATATGTGAACCAAGACATGAGATGTGTTTTATCAGTGACTCAAACCTCGAATCAGTCGACTGACTGAAATGAAACAATGTCATCCATCCCATTTAACTATAACAAAATATGTATTCTGTTTGATGATTGTAAACATTTATTTTCATCATTATTTGTGAGGGGCTTGAGAAAGAACTGAAGGGGGTCATGAGGAGGTTGAGTGTTCCTCATGCGGGGAATGGAGTGAAAAGTTTGAGAAACACTGTCCTAGACTAAGTACTTTACATTTATCCACTTTTAATTTCATCAGCCATTACTCAGACCCTTCGAAATTTTTTTTTAGATCTTCCTGTAGTTTTGCGGAGTCCTCGTCACATTTAATTACACGCCTTATTTTAGAGTCATCAGCAAATTTACTTATGTTGATGTCTACGCCAATATCTGTTTCGTTTATGTATATAATAAATGATAATGGTCCAAGTACTGAGCCTTGGGTACTCCACTAGTAACGTTACTCCAATCGGATTTAGTGCCGTTAATGCTCACTCGCTGTTTCCTGTCCTGTAACCACGCCCTAATCCATTTTATAATATCTCCTCCAATTCCATGAGCCTCCACTTTTCGTATTACTCTTTCGTCGGGGACTCTGTCTAAGGCTTTGCTAAAGTACATCATAATCGTGCCTGTCGTCCACTGATTCGAAAAAAAAAACTGAAATTGTTTTATAATCGATTAGTCAGACATGAATGCCTGCTTGTGAAGCCATGTTGGAATCATTGATCAACTTGTGCTTCTCCAGGTGATGTTCTTGTCTTTCTCACCATAACTGTTTATTAGTATAATGTCAGGGTAAATTTCTTGATATCTATTACTTAGGATAATTCTCTCAGTCTTCCAGTTTCTTACGTTGTGTTGTATTATTCATAAGGTTCTTACTGTTTGTCTGTTGTCCATTATTTCTTCTATTTTATATTTAGTTCACCATTAAGATCAATTGTAAAGAAAAATATAATGATAATATACATACACAAAATATATATAACACTCATCTCGTGTTATATCAGTAAATTCAATAGTAAAAAAATTGACATCAAGTAAGAACTTGAACGCTTTCTAATTAATTCACACAACAAATAACTTAAATAAATGGTATTGTCCCAAATTAAACATTAAACTACATAACCTTGATGCATTATGGTGACACTCAGAAGTGAACCACTATCCCCAACACTCTTAACACAGCTGACGTTCGTCTGTTAATATCAAAGTATCAACTCAAGTGGTCACAACAATTATTATGGTATCAATGTAGGAAGGCACAAAATAAACATTACACTGATATGCAATTAACATTTTTCTGAAATGTCACAAACAAGAATAAACAAAACTATAACTTGTCACAAAAGGCAATCTTCCTTTCAACACTTAAAATTCAGTTTCAAATGCAGTATGGTACTTAAGTCACAAAATTATTTGTACTCTGAAATAATCACAAAGTTATTTGTGCTCTTAAATATTGATGGCTCACAGATTATTTATAACCAAAGAAATTAAAGAAAGTGACATAGAAGTTATATAATATATGTATGTAATAATTAATAAGAGAATGAAAAAGAAAAATGATAACACAAACTTAGATTCCCCCCTTACAAGCTGTACAAACATTACTGATAAACAGCCTCGTGATATGTATAGCCATTAAATAAAATCACAAGAAAACACTTATGAAGTTTAGCCTAAAATCTATGCACGAATGATAAAAGTACAATGATAAAAAGCAGCATAAAAGTACCAACCCGTCGTTTTCGTAGTACTTTACCGTCGGACAAGAGCCGCACTTGGAGTGTCACTAAATTTACTTCATTATGGAGTAGCTTGGTTAACAGGTAGAAGTTAAGTTGTACTTTTCTTGCTTTCGAGTTAAGGCGATGATGCCAACCATCACAGTCATTATTTGTGCGGACACTCCTTTCAAACACATTCCAAGCAGATGGGGTCCAGATGTCTGAATTCATCCATGTATTTTTAATGTATTCCATTACAGTAATAAACGATTCTGTCACTGCATCACGGTAGAGGCGTAGAAATAGTTCTTCGATATGCTCAACTTTTACAAAAGGGAGAGCAAATACCATTCTTAAGAAGATGTGTGTTCCTACATCATAAGATCATAAGAACATAAGAATGGAGGAAACTGCAGCGGGCCTATTGACCCATACTGGGCAGACCCATTTACACCCAACCCCTATTGCTCATATATCCACCCAACCTATATTTGAAGCTATCCAGCGTATTCTAGTTAATGATGATATTTCGTAACTTGTTCCACTCGTCCACAACTCTATTTCCAAACCAAAGTTTACATAGTTGGCGCCTAAATCTAAATTTGTCTAATTTAAAACCATTGTTACGAGTTCGCTCCTGGTTGGATACTTTGAGTACCTTTGTAATATCCCCTTTGTTTAGCCTTGACTTCCATTTATACACCTCTATCATATCGCCCCTCACTCTACGTCTATCGAGGGAGTGCAAATTAACATGCTTTAACCTGTCTCTGTACTCTAGGTTCCTAAAGCCCGAGATTAGTCTCGTCTTTCTTCTCTGAACTCTTTCCAAGGGTTCTATATCCATTCTGTAATACGGTGAACAGACTTGAATTGCGTAATCCAAGTGAGGTCTCACAAGCGTAAGTTAAAGTTTTAGGATGACCTTGCTAGTCTTGTAGGTAACACTCTTTTGTATGAACCCAAGTACTTTATTAGCCTTGTGTCAGACAAATATACATTGTTAACTTGACTTAAGATTTCTACTTATCATTACTCCTAAATCTTTCTCGCAGTCGGATTTCTCAATAATATCGTTCTTCATTTGGTATCTGGTTTCCCTGTTTACATCTCCTTTACTGAGTACTTTACATTTGTCCACATTGAATTTCATCTGCCATTTTTCAGACCATTCGAAAAATTTGCTTAGATTTTCCTGTAATTTTGCGGAGTCCTCGTCAGATTTAATTACACGCCCCATTTTAATGTCATCGGCAAATTTACTTATGTTGCTGTCTATGCCTATATCTATCTCGTTTATATATATTATAAATAATAATGGTCCAAGTACTGAGCCTTGGGGAACTCCACTAATGACGTTGCTCCAATCGGATTTAGTGACGTTAATGCTCACTTGCTGTTTCCTGCCCTGTAACCACGCCGTACTCCATTTTAGAATATCTCCTTTAATGCCATGAGCCTCCACTTTTCTTATTATTCTTTCGTGGGGGACTCGTATACTGGCTCGAAAACAGCTGAAAAGAATGTTAATTGATTAGTTAGAAATGTTGTTCCCTATCTATGTATACAGTCGGTGCCTTGGATATCATGTTTAAATTTTCAGTGGTGAAAACTGTTGAAAAATATTTATTCAAATTTTTGCCCTTGGGGTTTGACTACGCCTCCCTTGCTACCTTCAGTTTATTATTCCTCTTTACTTTTCTTATCTCGGTCTTAACCCTTCCGGCCAATACCTTATAATAATTTCGGAGGTAAACTTCACCACGATTTATTCTCCTACCTACAGTTTTTCATTGTCCAATAATATTCTTTAAATAATTATTTATCCATTTAGGGTCATTGTTGTTTGATCTGAGTTTTCTGTATGGTATGTTCTGCCTGGAAATAGGCAAATGGAGTACCCATATTCAAAAAGGGTGACAGAGCATCAGCGTCAAATTACCGGCCGATTAGTATGATGTCAGTAGTGGGGAAATTTCTTGAATCAATCATAGCAAATAAAACATCGGATCGCATTTAGAGAAAAACAAATTAATCTACGGCTCTCAACATGGGTTTACAAAGGAAAAATCTTGTCCAACAAATATGCTGACGTTTTTTTTAGGAAAGTCTTCGAGGTAGTACATAATGACGAAAATTACGATGTTATTTACTTAGACTTTAGCAAAGCGTTTGACAGGGTACCGCATCAGAGGCTTCTGAGAAAAGTTAAGGCTCATGGTATCGAGGAGAAAGTTTTAAATTGGATAAAATCATGGCTCACCCATAGAACACAGAGGTTCAGCGTAGATGGTGCTAAATCTGAGTGGGGCTCTGTAACCAGTGGGGTTCCCCATATATAAGCTTTAACTTGGCTTATATATAAATAAGTTGAAGGGCTAAGTTACAAACCCCCCAAAAAATTTTCTACATTTATTGTTAAACTATATTGGTCACAGTCTATTAGTAGATGCACCGTAATTAACAGTATAAGCTGTGAGTGTTAGTTAAGGGCAGGGCTCAGCTTGACTGAGTTAAGTCACCCGTCTGATTCTCGTGAGGCTCAAGTGAAGACTGGTGCTCGTGAGGGGAGGTGCCTGTGAGGAGAGGTGCCTCTGAAGGAGAGGCTGGGCTAACCTTACATTCTCAAGGTCGGCCTACTGATAGAGGAATTTCCCCTCACGTGAACAGCAGATGGCAACTCATAACTTAATGGAAAATTACCGTGGGGTGATTGGATTATATAAACTAAATGTATTAACCCAAATTTATATAATTGTTATTGTCATAAGACAGGGGCTAACACATCCAGGGGTCAGTACCGGGACCACTCTTGTTCATAATCTACATAAACGACCTAGATACTGTGATGAGCAGTGACATAAGCAAGTTTGCGAATGACACCAAAATAGGGCGGCAGATTAAATCAGGGCAGGATGCAAATGCACTACAAGAGGATTTAAATAAATTGCAGGAGTGGTCAGAAAAATGGCAAA